CTAAAACGAAATATGAGTACAGAAAATAGGTCTCTTTACTGTCTCCCTCATAAGAAGAACATATGACTCGCATCATAGACTGAACTAGGGGTATACTCTTGATTCATTTGAGAACTAGAGCATTTCACTCTGAGCCATCGCTAATTGTGGAGATATCTTTTTGTACAAAAAACTTGTATACAATGCTATGGTTCTGGAAAAAGTATTTCAGAAAGTAGTACGATTTTCAGTTTCAGTAAATCAGTAGATATATTTAATGGTATAGAACGTTCTATTACAAGTGTAATGTCATAGAAGAAGTACGCCACAAGATGTGCTACTGGACTCACAAGAAAATTAAAATACATCTTTCCTTAAGTTGTTTTAAAATAAAATTTTACAAAGATTTACAAAGTCATTAAATATAAAGAAAAGTGTTCGTCTTGACTATCATAGAAATTTAAAATGTAATTGTAAAAGAAATTGCATTTCGTTAGTCGTCGTTTAAAAGTAACGTATTAAATATTTTAGAATAATAATTTTGTCAAATGTATAAAAAAACAGAAAATAATGTTAGATCGAATTTGTAATCCGCGTAGCCCTCGGTTGCATTATCTATCGTTTAAGCACGTTTAGTACTCAAAGCTGCGTGCATTCAAGTTCTGGTGCTACCTAAGAATTCTGTCATCTCCGTGAGCAGGAAAAGTACAAGTGCAAAGATGACATGAAGAGCAAGGGAGCTCAAGAATGGGATCAGTAATAAAAGCAAAATACGTATTATTTGAATTTTGTAATATACGTTCAAATTACTTAAGTTATGGATCACAATTTGAGAGGAAATGGAAAACAGGGTTGCTGGGATAGCAAAGAAAGTAACATATAGAGCAGATAATAAATGACATATGAGACTTCATCCCAATAATCCACGTGACTGGCTGGCTGAAAACAGAGTCCATTTTAAAGCAATCACTGTTGCCCACCAACATAAGTATTAAACGGACTAAAGAGAGAGAAGGCGCGCCAAGTATGGAAGCTGCCTCAGGGCGCATCTGGCGGCGACGGCAGAAGCATTTACTGCACGTTCGGCTCATTGCCACCAGACAGCGCTGCTCTCGCTCAGTACGCGATCCCAGGCAGATACGAAAATGACATGTGCTATTGTGTGCAGCATTAGAGAGACCGTAAGACGTCGAACAAATTGCAAGCCGTTAATACTCTGTGTAGTTAGCCGAAATCTGAAGTCCGAAGAAATTCAGTGGTGGTAGCTGATCTCTTGTGGCACCGCATGATATGAGTTAAGAAATAATCAAACCACAACAATATAAGTTTTAATATTTATTAAAACATTATTACTGAAAGCGAACACAGTTCCAGACGTTTACGCGAATTTTATTACAATGTGAATCATTGTTTGGTTCTGATAGTTCTTTCTATAAAATATTTAAAAAGTAAATACGCTGATCTATCACATTGTCCTAAAACTGAAGAATACATTCCGTACTAATACTGATTTTATTAATACAATTATAGCAACTAATTTTCAAACGCTAGGGGATATAATTAAGTTAATTGATCAGGAGGTTGTATTTATACTCCAAGGGATTCTGTCATGATAAAACTACTTTTGTTTGATGAAAAGAATGCGCTTTGTTTATAATTATCATAAACTATTACGTAGAAACTTTTCATATAATTAGTGTGCAATTTTTTCTTACTGCTCAGAGAATCAAGAATTTAATAAAGTTTATTTTACATTTTGTGACAGAAAAGAGGAGAAACATTAGGTATTATTGAAACCTAGATAGTACATAAATAGGCATACTTACGCTGATTATGAAAAGTTATTACCAACTGGTTCGAAAACATTTTCTCTGAATAATAATAATAATAATAATAATTATTATTATTATTATATTAGTAATAATTATAATTATATTAATAATAATAATCTAATTTAAATACCTTAATAGATTTTATTACATTATTACGAAGAAATTCTGGAAAGTTTGCTTACAATTTCTGGTACTTCCAATGTTTAAAAAGTGTCACTTCGGTGAAGGTACTATACAGTAAGCAAATAGAATCAGGGGAGAAAGTATATTCGGAGACGGGAGTTTGTTTTCTAAATTTATCATATTTTCTCTTATATCAGCATTGATTCTATATTACTTTATTCGTAACTATGGGGTTATATAAAAAAATTGTTCTGTTTTTTTAGAATCTCATCCGTCGCAATCCCACAAATACTAGAAAATTCCGTATCTTTAATAATGCCCCTAAAAATTGTATAGGGCTTTTAGTTATTCTTTGCAAAAACTATGAACTATTTAATGTACTTATTACTTTAACACTTAAATTTATGACAGCGAGTTGAAACACAACGATAGAACGCGATTACTTGTATTTGCTTTCAAAAAGAAAGGATTTATGAGACGGCTGCCATCAGTTTATAAGATGAGATATCTCTCTGTGTACCCAGCAATTTCCTTTGGAAACGTTTATTGCGTGACATTGCAAAAAATATCATTTGACGCATAATATTTATGAGCAATACTTCTGTATCTCGAGAGAGAGAGAGAGAGAGTGTAATATAACGAAAGATTGTGAAGTAGTACCCTTTTCGTTACACAAACAGAACCTCCTTGAAAGGTTTGCAGGCGGAGAAAGTATTTCCTGCAAATGCGTTGGAGATTCAATTAGATTTTTGAAGCGGCTTCATTGATGTGTTTGCGATACAACATGAGATGTTGAGCCGTGCCAAGCCGTTCAGCATGGTGCCAGCAGTTCTCGCCATGAACTCATCACTATGGCAAGTCATAACTCGTTTAAGGCGGTAGGGCGTTGACGTCTTGGGAGAGGGCTGAGTAACTGAATTCGACCGGTCTTTCTCTTGAATTTGTACAGGGAGGGGTAGTGAGTGAAAGTTATCTGCTTGGTATTTGCGTGGTTGACTCTTGAGAATGCAGATTTACTTTCAGTGTTGGTGTCGTAAAACTTTGATAGTAGGAGTTATTCATAGGTGGGTGTGCAAAGCGACTGTGCTCGCGAAGGCGGGTGCATAGCTTTCGTAAACAGAGCACTCGGATGAAAGAGTACTTCTGCATTATAGTGGGCAAGTGAGAAAACTGCTTTCTAATGTTTTTTTTCTTTCTCATTTTTGTTCGTGTGGGAGCAATTCATGCTTCGCGTATGAAAGTTACAGGTGCATGGATGCTCAACAGCCTCTAAGTTTCAAGTACCCAGCGTATTGACAGAGTTAATATTTTCCCCTTTTAGAAATATCTTCATAAATGTTGAGTCAATATACTAATGACATAAATGATACGAACATGGGGAGAATGTACAGTGAGAATGAGAGGGAAATTCCAGTTTGATATGTTTGCAAAACGAATTCTTATGAAATCATTAATTTGTAAGCCATTCTACAGTCAGCCACGGCTAGATGTCGCTAGGATTATGAATTTGAAAACATGTGATTTAGTTATACATTTGCTGTTTTAGGGTTAAGTCTCATTTTATTTTTAATATCAATAATTTTTCTCTATTATAAAATAAAGTATTTGCCTTATAGAGGTCATGTATTAAGAGTCTGCTTTATTTCCAACGTCAGAAAGTCTGTTACACAACTTTCCTGATAATTAATGAAACCTTTGTTATAAATTGTCAAAGCTCAACCAACAACTATTTAACTTGTTTTCACAAAAAACCTGAATGAAAGTAATGTGAATTTTAGACATAGAAAAGGAATTTGAGGTTCGTAGTCATTCCACATGAGGAATGTTAGCAGATTGAGAGCAAGTTGTCAATATACGTTAATATTTTTTAAAAAGAAACCAACGTCTAAGGCAAGGTTTTCTTTGTGATTTAAAAATCAAATTTTTATGCATGAAACTGAAGTAATTATTTCCTCTTCTTACCCAAAAAACTTACACATCGCAAGAGATTAAAAATGTCCTGCAAGTATGTGGAAGTTGAATGTCAATTTCACAAACGATTGTATCCAAAATTAAATCATTTATTTCAGAAAACATCCGAGCACCGTTTGCTAATTTTGAAAAGAAAAACTGTTTGGTACCATACTAAATTTTTGGTAGAGGGTTTTTTTGCAAGAAGTAGTAAATAATTCAATAACTTTACTTGAAGAAAAATTTTCTCGTATCCTTCAAAAATCTATTCCACTATTAACGCGTGTTTGGGCGCTGGTCTGGTTAGTGATATAAACGATTCAGTTCTCGTAATACAAATATTTCATCACCCGGATATGTGGAATAATGACGCGGCTAAAGAAACTTGACACAATAAGTAATGACTGATTTCACCGTCCATTTACTTTACCCCCTTTCTATGATCTATGTGGGTCTATCGAGTGAAGACGACCCGCATGCACTTGCGACGCGAACTTTCTCGAAGCTCGTAGTCTCTTTCGGCGAACACCGCAAACCGGTTTGAGGGTATGACTCACGGACGGGGTATCAGAGGAAGGGTGCTCAAAGCAAACAAGCAGGTTTATAAAAAGAAAAGAAAAAACATCTTTATTGCGTAGGGAATACAGGCGCAGAGTGTACAATACTGGCAGCGCGGACTAGCAGGAGAGCGCTCTGGGGGCGAGCGGGCGCGAGCGTGCGCACCGGCGATGGCATTTGTTTTTTTGTTTTTTGGGGGGTTCTTACTGCCCTTCAGGATTTCAAACTATTCGTTATTTACAGTAACACGTGAGTGATTTTTCTTATACGGTATTGAACAAACACTACTTTGATGTATCGAATTGAAAATTGAAATAATTAGAGGTGTGTTTTTTTTGTCTACTGTATTGTGTCGTTCATATAAAAATACTAAAAAAATAGAGAGCTGGGACCGTAATGGTCACGTCACAATACAGTAAGTTTATCCGAAAGAGCCGAACTTCATATGTTTTTCGTGTGAGAGTTCGTTACTTTCGATCCATGGGACTCGATACGGTAATAACGAATTGCTCCTGTTGCCATCGCGAGTGCGCGCGGGAGGGGGGGAGCTCCGTGCGGTCAGTGGTGCTCGAAACCGGCGCCAACGCCAATGTCGAAGTCCCCTCCTCCACCGCCCAAGCTGTGACCACCGTCGCCACCGCCGAAGCTATGGCCACCGTCGCCACCGCTGAAGCTGTGGCCACCGTCGCCACCGCCGAAGCTGTGGCCACCGTCGCCACCGCTGAAGCTGTGGCCACCGTCGCCACCGCTGAAGCTATGGCCACCGTCACCACCGCCGAAGCTGTGGCCACCGTCACCACCGCCGAAGCTGTGGCCACCGTCACCACCGCTGCCGCCGCCGCCGCCCAGGCTGGCTCCTGCATCGTCGTGGCTCTCCTTATGGACGGGCACCGCTACGGGCACTTTGACGGGCACGGGGACTGGCTTCTCCACGGTCACCGGGTACGGCTTGGGCACGGGCACCTTGACGGGCACCGCCACGTGCTTCTCCACCGTCACCGGGTACGGCTTCTCCACGGTGTAGGGCACGGGCTTGGGCACGTGCACGGCCACCGGCCGGTCGACGGGCACTTTGACGTGCACCGGGACGGGTTTCTCCACCACGTACGGCACGCGCTTCTCGACGGGGTAGGGCACGGGCTTCTCCACGGTCACCGGGAAGGGCTTGGGCACGTGTACGGCCACCGGCCGGTCCACAGGGACCTTGATGTGCACCGGGTAGGGCTTCTCCACGGTGTACGGGATCTTCTTTTCGACGTACACCGGGTACGGCTGCGGCACGTCGACGGGGTAAGGTTTGTCCACCGGGACCTTGACGTGAACGGGGTAGGGCTTGTCGACGGGCACTTCAACGGGGACTTTGACGTGGACGGGATAGGGCTGCGGGACAGGGACCTTGACTTCCACTTTGTACGGCGTGGGCACCGGCACTTTCTTCTCCACTATGACGGGGTAGGGCTTGGGAACGTGCACGGGGTAGGGTTGCGGCACGGGCACCTTCACGTGCACGGGGTACGGCACGTGCTTGGTGACCGGTACGTGGACCGGGTAGGGCTTGTCGACGGGGACCTTGACTGGGTAGGGAACGTGCTTCTCGACCGGGACCGGGTAGGGCTTTTCCACGGGTACCGGGTAGGGTTTGTCGACGGGCACCTTGATGTGCACCGGGTAGGGCTTGGGCACGTGGACCGGGTAGGGCTTCTCCACCGTCACGTGCACAGGGTAGGGCTTGGGCACCGGGTAGGGCACCGCCACCTTGTGTGTGACGGTGAGGGTGTGTGTCTTGTGGTCGCCGCCGCCGCCGCCGCCGCCGCCGCCGCCGAAGCTGAAGCCCTCGAAGCCGCCGTGGGAGCCGCCGAAGCTGTCGAAGAGGCCGCGTTTGCTGTGCGCCTTGTCGCCCTCCGCCGCCACCGCCTCCTTCTCCTCCGCGGGCGCCGCAGCCTCCGCCACCGCCGCCGCCGACTCGGCCTTCTTGGCGTCCTCGGCGCGGACCAGCGCCAGCGCTAGCAGTAGCGCCGCCACCTGCCACACACACACGACGCATGTCTAGTCAGTCAGTGCTTGTTTTATTCATTGGTCATTCCTTTTTTCCCCTCATACGTATTCATATTTCAGTCAGTCGTACACTCATTCGTTCATTTTCACAGACACATTCATTCATTCAGTCAGTCAGTCAGTCAACCAATGATATTTTATTTTACTTTATTTCTCCTTCATACTTCTTAAGGCATTATATTATCTCTACATAAATGTTTTTATTGTGTATTAATTATGCATACGTCAGTAATATGTACAGGAATACATATTATTTATTTAAATATGTATTGTAGTAGTGATTGAGTCATATCATAATATTGAATAAGAAAAGAAATGATTTCTGGAAATGAGTACTTCTAAAACTTCCAGGCCATCACTGAAGAGGTATAATAAAATCAATACATTTTCCCTCTATCAGTACTACGAATTCGCAAGATATCTCTGGTCGTAACGTTTTAATGATATATATTATTTTTAAAATTCTGTGATGTAATTCAAATTAACAAAAATGTTTGGGGAGGATCGTTGTACAACTTTTAACTTCTGTACAATGTACTTGCTTCTATATTCGTCTTGATTATTTATAAATTATTTGAAATAACGCAATAATAAAACTATATATGAAAAAACTAAATGGATAAGTTTTTCAACTGATTCAGAAGAAAATGCAGTAATTGTGGTATAAGAAATAAGAAAAAGTGTACTACCGTTTCTGAGGTTGTCGAAAATTTTAACTAATGCAGGAGTTTTCAAATTCACTTTGATTCAGATGCGTAACCATTATTGTCTATGTTTCCTGTTTTAATTTTTCACAAAAAAACGTCAAAGCGGATTTATATTTCAGAAGACTTGTGGTGCCGTGTTGTTTGAAAACGTGTCATCACTTCTGTTTTTTCTCTTGCTCGTGGGAAGAAAACGGGTGTCTGCCACTGCAGCTCCTATTGATCGTTTAAGGTAGCCACCTCCAACCAAGTTGAAGAAATGTCGTTTATTGTCGGAAGGTGGAAAAACGAGAGAACTGGTATGTAACCCCACCTTTCTCACGATTGGAAATTAAAAAAACTTTTAAAACTATTTTTCACATCGGATGAAGGAAGTATGATTTGTTAGTCCTGTTATTGTTACAGTGTACCATAAAATAACCGTTTCCGACAAATACAAACTAGGATAGTTTTTCAAATTCCCTAATATATTTATCGTAGATTTATTAATAATTAAAACAATAAAATACTAACCGTCATTTTTGTAATTTAAGTCAAAATGTAAGTATAAAACACACAGAACAAAAGTGCTTGAATTAAACATTAATAGTATAAAGCGATTACATCATTGAATATTTAAAAGGTTGACAAACAAATTTGACAGAAAATATTCTTTAAAAAAAATATTATCTCCTGAGATATGAATATTTTTATATCAGTCAGACAATTTACCGCGGTACATTTGGCGCGAAGTAACTAACGGCAGGTCGCAGACATCCTGCTCCTAACGCAGATTATTCAAATTACTTTCGCACCACCATTCTCCGAAAGTATTTCGTCAACTGTCTTCGCGACTATTTCAAAGTTTATTAAGTCATATAGCTGATATCAATTTTATTAAGTGATATATTAAGTGAAGAAGCTTAACCAATTAAGTAAAAGAATTCGTTAAATTACTGTCTACAGATCTGTTCACAAAACGTGCAAGAGTTTGATCCATAACCGTTTTCAATCTAACAATTGAAATAATTACTAATGATTGGCGTCAACGATGGTTTTTTACCTTTTAATTGTGTAATTGGGGAACTTTGTAACGAAAGAAGCACGCATATGTACGAACGTCCTTTTTTTTCAATTTTTTCAATATTATCGTATTTTTTTTCAATTGCGTACAGGAAACAGATCTTTGCGGCACCGTTCTTGGAACACGTTACGGCATTTGAACGCGCGTAGGGTTTACTAATTTCTAGAAGTACTGCAGTATCGGTGCACAGAGGAATGAATACCTTACGTACCCAATCCTGTTGCTTCTAGTAATCCTCCGTAGTCTGACGCGTTGTATGTGTCTATTTGCTTTTCTTAGTCTGTAAAACCGGAATCGTTAGTGGAAAAAAGTATGTAAATGGGGTCTTGATGTTTCCCGCTGGGTTTAGTCATGCTTTCAGAATTCCTATGGTCTTATATAGCAGGTGGCAATGGATTAGTTATCATTTGCAATTCAAGTGATTTACTCTCAACGCATTGCCATCTGCCGAACCGCACATTTAATGCATGGGCGCGAGTTCTTCGTTTGTGTACTTTAAAGTGGACCTAATAGCACATGTCAAAACTTTTGAACTTCCAAAAAGAAAGGTATATTACTTGAATAAATATTGCATTTAAAAAAAAATATTGCATGATAATAATAAATGATTCGATTGCGTAGCAACTCCAGATTTTAGTTAGTGAAGAAATATGACTAGAAATAAAGTTTTGATAATAAAAATTCATACAAATAATTCACGTTTTCGTTTTTCCCTATCCTGAAGCATTGAGCTTTGGCCGCGAAATAATGGCTCGAGATAAAAAATGCTTATAATAAAAAAGGTTCTGCTGAAAATTGCCTCTTTAGAGGACACATTCTTTGCCCTGAGAACTGCCGGCCCCCGTTCTTGAGAATTGCATGCAAACTCGCTGCAACTACTAGCACGACCTCTGACTCAACTCTGGTCTTGGAAGCATGGTGGGAGGTAAGTGAAACGTCGGTACAACGTCGGTTTGTACTTAAAACGTCGGCAGCTAAATCTATGCACGTGAAATGCAACGACATCAAGCTGTAGTTGCAGGCATTTATCTGGGATTTTTTTGGTCAATAACGACGCGCATACACGTACTTGGGCCAATGCCAGCTACATGCAAGTCTTGTCGTTGTGAGTAGCACGTTCTTTCGACCCGAGCACTGGCCTGGAAAGCCAATAGCTGTGAGCTGGCTGAGCGGCCCGACCCAGTCTGTGAATGGGAAGGTTACCGAGAGGTTAAACTGCGTTCTGGCGGTACACGAGCCTGTCGTCGTTCTTTGGCACCGGCGGGGTGTGTGGATAAAGACCACAGAGGCTAGATGCAATCCCCCTGGGATGCGAGAAGCTGTGTGCAATGTTAGGCTCGTACTATCCCGCCACCGTCGGTGCTGAACCTCCTTCGTGCAGCGTTCGTGTCGTCTGTCATGTGCGTGGGCGCGTCCGCCGGCGCAGCGACCCCTGCTCGGGCGGGCGTTCACCGCGCGCTGCCCTTGAGCGCTCGGCGCGGCGCGGAGCGGAACCTGAGTTGCTCAGCAGGTGCTGGCGGTCAAGGCAGCGGGCGCGCGCCGGTGACCCAGTTCAGTGCTCGCGGCGCGGCCGGGCGCGGAGGCGCAGGCGGTAAAACCATTGGCGGAGGTGGAGTGTGTGATTGATTGGTTGATTGCTGTTTCTGGGCATGTCAACTGCTATGGTCATTAGCCCTGTTAGTGTAGGGAATGTTTTTTTATGGTGGAGAGATAGTGGTGTTCCTCTCCTGGTAGCTGATGAGATCTAGCTTCGACCTTCACGTCAACTTGGCCGGGGTTTCCCTCCTCCAAGTATCTCTATCCAGCGAGGCACCGCACTAACGGGACAAGCTCTAAGTAGTTCCCGACATTCGCTGAACTGTGCTGATATATATGTGAGTGTATGTGTGTGTGAGTGTGTGTGTACGTAACTAAGTAAGAGAAGAAGATAGGTAAAAGAAGACGAGGTTCTTGACCCGTTTGTAGAGCTCCTGGTATTGAACGGAGAAGCCACGGAAACCTACCGATCAGAGCAGACGTCCGCTAGAGATCAGAGCAGCGGCTGAATTCGCCAGAGCTATCTAGCAAGTGTCGAAAATCCACGACCGTCGGGCAAAGCAGGTTAAACTCAAGCTAAACGTAACCTGTGGCAGTAGTGCAGGTAGTACTGTCGCCGAGAGCTCGAGGATGAGAGAGGACGGCGGACGTGGAAGACGAGGGCGGTCGGTATGGTGGTAAAGAGGACGGTGCCAGGCAACTGGCGGGGGCGGTGGTGGTTGCTGCTGAGGAGGAGGCGGCGGCGGCAAATGGATGGAACCCGTGACAGAATAGACAAGATGTAGTGATGTGAGGTGGTGTTGGAAAGTAGAGGTGGCGGAGTCGTGCTTGGGATTGATACACACCGATGAGGATGTAGGATGGTGTACGATGTAGGATGTTGACTGGGCAAGTCCTTAAACAACGGCAAATGCTGTAGAACAGAGGCGGGCGAATAGTGTATAGTGATGTCGGGTTGTTCCGGGAAGTAATGTTAAAACTAACGCTCAGTTATGGTGCTGTCGGTGGCGATGGAGACGATTCACAGAGCAACGGTGGAAATGTCAATTCGGATTACTGCCTTACTGGTGGAGGTGGTGCCTACTCCGTTGGCGGAAGAAATTAAAGCATAAGTTGGTTTGACAGCTGTTGATGTTGACGGTGTTAATGACAGTGAACTTCTTAATGCCCGCTGGGGGTGACTATAATGAGAGTGGTTTCAAAACGTCTCTGGGAGTTGCACCGATAAAGCGCCGCCGGCGCGAGGCGGGGCGACGAGCGGGAAGCGTCGGCCGCGGCGCCGCGAGGCAGTGAAAGTGGCGGCAGTGACGGAAAGTCGGAAGCGCCGAGGGCGAAGGCAGCTGGAAGAACTCCCAGGTGCTGCACCGGTAACGCTGACGGCTACAAGAATGGTAATAGTTGTGCCGTTGATCTTGGAATCACTGATTTTTACGACGAAGTAGTGGTAATACTGAAATAGTTATGGCGCTAGAGATTGAGATGGAAATCTGTATCTAGATGTTGGTTGTAACGGTGATGTTGAGGCGTAAATGAGAATAACCGAGATGAAAATTGGTGCACGGTTGTTTCAAGGAGTCTAGCATCTCGAAAGCGGGCAGATATGAAGTGGTTGCTTCACTGAACTTCCACAGGGAGGGAGATGGATGTGCACGTTGAGGATAACGGGGGTTCTTGTAGAGCGAATGGTCAGAGACTATCGTCAAAAGAGTTGTTCAGAGAATGTCAGTTGTCGACAAATGGATTGGCAGGGCAGAATTTGTAGGTGATGGTGGATGGTGGTGAGAGTTGCTGTTGCTATATGAGGCTACTTGTGGGCAATAAAAGCAGTAGATACTGTAATTTGCGGTTTCTTTACTGACGACAGTGACTGTCAATATCGTTGGTCGTTGGTGGAGGTGGATGTTGTTGGTGTTGATGGTGATCCGAAGCAATTTTTAGTGAGGCGGCGGTTTCACCGGCGATTGTAATCGACAGTGCTGATTGTTATTGCGGCAGCTGTGATTGTAGGCGGTGTCTGTTGTCGTCTGAACGTTGCTGACAAATGCGATTGTCGAAGGTAAGAATTATCGGCGGTGAATTTTGGCAATGATGGCGGTGTTATTGTCAGAATTTGTCAGCTGCGGCATTTGCCAGAAGTGATGTTCAGCTGCAGGGGTTCCCAGCGATAGATGTTGGCGGCGGCGATGAGGGTGGAGGATGTAGGAGACAATGACGGTTACAGGAGGTGACGGTGGCTGGCGGAAGTGGCGGCTGTTATCAACGACATTTGTCTGCGGCAGAGCAGACAGTTGTCTGCGGCAGAGCTGACAGTTGTCTGCGGCAGAGCTGACAGTTGTCTGCGGCAGAGCTGACAGTTGTCTGCGAGAGGGATGACGGTTGTCGATGGCAGAGGGATGACGGTTGTCGATGGCAGAGGGATGACGGTTGTCGACGGCAGAGGGATGACGGTTGTCGACGGCTGAGGGATGACGGTTGTCGACGGCAGAGGGATGACGGTTGTCTGCGGCAGAGGGGTGGCGGTTGTGTGAGGCAGAGAGAGGTGCTTGTCGGCTGCACAGGGGTGGCAGTTGGCAGCAGATGGGTGGCGATTGTCAATGGCAGAGGGGAGGCGGTTGTGGCCGGCAGAGGTGGCGGTAGTGGGCCGCAGCGCGGACTGTCGGCGGCACGATTGCGGCAGCGGCGGCGTTGCACAGAGTGCGCCCCGCAAGCCTCCGTGGGAGAAAGCGGCCGGGATGAGCCGAGCGCCGCGCGCCCTTCCGCGTTTCAAACCCTCCCGATCGACGCGGGAGGCAGGCGGAGCACGCGGCGCGTCCGGCGCTTTCTTGTCGCGCGTTGCTGCGCCGCCGCCCAAGAAAGTCTATTGTGGGGCGCATTGGGCGGGCGCCGGCGCCGCACGCGAGAAGACGCCGCCCCCGGAGGGCGATTACGGCGATTTATGTGATGGAACCAGTCGCGATGCGGTGCTCGGCCAATTGCGCGTTCCGGCGCTCTGCGTTCGCGCTCGGCGCCGTCCCGCCGTTGCTGCGCTTCTTAATTTCGGGGAATTTCGTGGGAGACTAATTGGAGCACCCGCTGCACGCAAGGCAGTATTCATTAACGCGTTAAATGGTTTAACGAAACAATTATAAAAAAGTTATATACCAAATCATCGTGAATTACTGGTTCGTTATTATATGTTGATCGAATGGATTTTGTTATTAACAGAAATAATTGTTGGGTAGTTTGTGTATGCCATTTTAGTTGAAAAACGAAAAAAAAGTGAAACGTTATTTATTAATTTTCTACATTTGAAACTAGTTTTAAATTATTCAAATTTCTTCAATGATTTATAACATTTTTGATATTTTCTGTCAACATTACATTTGGATTATGATCTTCTTTGACACATGTCAATTAGAAACATAGTGCTTCTTTATCTAAGGAACATTTTTTCTCTGAGTTACGCATAACAATGTGTAGTCGTAAAGGATTCTCTACGGGAATTTACTATTGTCAATTACTATTGTTGAACCTACAACAATGACTATTTTTGAAGCTGCTTTATCGTTTGTGAATTTTCGAACGCAATAAATTCTCCTTCTCCCTTCAAGTGAAATGAGTCTTCCCTCCTTTACCCTCACGTAAAATATATATTATTCAATGTATATCAAATTCAAAATATATCAATCAATATATATTATCCAATTTCAATGATAACAGTTAAGGACGTGAAGTTTGTTCTTTCATAGAATGTGATCTAGTAGTTACCTCTTCCTAACTATCTTTCGATTTCCTTCACAATAAATTTATAGTCAAGTTAATCCATAAAGGTTTACCTGCAGCCCAATGAACGAAAACATTGTTTGTCTGAAAACTCTCTGCTTTTATTGTGCTTCGTTTTTTGTCCTACTTTCGTTTCTTGTCTCTTGGGGATAACCATCAGTAACGTAAACAATTACTGCGATAAGTGGCAAAAAGATTGCAATTTCCAAAATTAAATGAATGGTCTCATCGGTATCGATCTTACAATGTTTGTATAATAATTATCTTAGCTCACAATAAATTTTGTATATTTGTCATACAGAGGCACAATTTGTCATATTATTGTTTCAGTCCATGTTTTAAATCGAGTAATCACGAATGAATGCAACAAACTACAGTTGGCGTATTTCTACTAACTTTATCATGTTGTTCATTACTTTGAGAAAAAAT